GGCGGCGGCGGCGGCAGGAGCAGAGGCTCCACAGGGCCGGGGACGGTCGGGGCTGCATTCGTCGGCGGCAGCGGCCCGGGATGTTGGCGGCTGCGACGCCGCCGGTGAGGGGGAGCGAGAGGGGGGTCCTGGCTCGGCCGCCCCCGCTTCTCCTGAGACCCCCCACTGCTCGCTCGGCGCTGCCGCTTCACTCCCCGCGGCGAGACCCCCACAAGGGGTTTCTCCTTCCCCTCTTTGTCCAGCTCCTCCTGCGCCGCCACCGCCCGTACTACGCGAACCGCTCCGACCTGCGCAGCCATTTCACCCACAAACACACATTTAAATGGCCCGACCGCCCCCCCGTCCGCGCAGCGCGCAAGCGCCGCCCGCGCACGGCCCGCTGGGTTTTGGAGTCTCTCCCCCGCCCTCCTCCGGCCGGCCGTGCTTCCTCCGGCGCCCAACAGGCCGGAAGGGGCCGTTCCCAGCGCTGCTCCGCTGGCCTGGCCAACCGCGCTCTATTGAAAAGCGCCGCGGGCCGCGCAGGGCCTCCTGGGAACGGTAGTTCCCGCGCCCCGCGCCCGCTCCCGGCAGCCGAGTGCAGGCGCCGAGAGCGAGCGTGCGCCGAGTCACGCTTCGGGCCGCGACGCAACCGCCGCTGGGCGGAGAGTTGCCGCCAACCGCCTTAACGGCTGAAACAATGTTAATGGCTCTCGGAGTCCGCCGGCGCGTTCCCATGATCGTCTTCGCGGCCCCCTTCGTCATTTTCCCTGGCGTAGGTGGTCTCCATAGTTACTTCCCCGTTTCATAGTCTCCCCCTAACCTTTGTGAGGTAAAACCGTCGCCAGCCTTTTGCTGTTGCATTTCATCAGCGATGGAACGAAAAGGAAGGAGCAGGATGCGCTCTGAGGACGAGCTGGGGCTGATGTCGGAGCGGCAGTGATTGGCGGTGGCGTGGAACCTCCCGGCGGTCAGCGCTGTGGGGACCGCGCGGGCGTGGCGGCGCAGGTGCCGGGAGCGGGCCGAGCGCCCAGCTCACCTCCGCCCGCGTCCCTGGTGCCCGAGTGCGTCCCTAGGAACAGGTGCAGGGCGCACAGCCCTGTTCACGTTTTTCGAACAAGACCTTTTTTTTTTTTTTTTTCAGAGCGGAAGTAGGTGGTTTCATAAAATTGAGCAGCGGGTCTCGCAGAGCACACGCCAGGCACCACCCCCCAGAGGTGCTGCTCACAAATCCATTTGCAAGGTGTCATCGACACCCCAGGTCTCACCTAAGCTTCTTTTCATCTGTTTGGACCTCAGGGAGACTTGGAAGTAACTGACACAGTGAAGTACTCGGGTGAGGAAAACATCCATTGAGCCCCGATGGCGTACACTGTACTGCCATGAACAGTGACTTCCATCCAGTAGCCCTGTCACTAAGAATTCCTAGGGAGCAATATGGAAGAGCAAATGCTGTTTATTCCATGTTCCTAAAAATTAAGAGAATTTTGATAGTTAAATGGAACTCGGGAGCCCTTTCTAAAAATACTTGTTACATCAGTTGGAAACCGATTTTAAGGCGGATTCCGTATTCGTATTGATTTTTTTTAAACTACTAGCACCTCTGGTTGTATAGATGGGAGTGTTTAGAGTGGACCTTGGAAAGGAGGAAAATGCTACCAAAAGATATTTTTTGGTTCTCTGTTTGTCTGGAATTGATCCTTGAATAACTTTGGTTGAAACTTAAACAGAAAAAAAAAAAGGAAAAAGAATGCTGTGAACATCTTGTTAGTTGGTGTATCCAAATGGAAAAAAAAAAAGACTGTCATTCTTTGTATATCCTTTTAAATCTAACTTCTTTTCATACCGACTTTGAAGTGGTGGAGGTATATTCTCCACTGAGGCAACAGTCACAGTCAAAAGCAATAATTTTATACTGTAACCACAATACAAGATTTTTAAAAACATTTTTATAGTAAATTCTGATAATTTAGACAGGTAATTAATATCCCATTCTTACAAAACTTTTTAAAGTTTGTATCTATGTAGGACAGTAGAATAAAACCAATTTCCAAAAATGAAAAACCCACTGTAACACGTTTTCATACAATATTCTCTACATAAGTTCAAGTGAGCTTTTATTAACCCAAAGTTAATGTGGTGAAAATGTAAAATTTCTGGCACTTATTTCCATAATGCTTTTCCTTTAAAAAGCTATTACCACACTATCATATCTTCACGTTGATATTTGCCTATAAAGTACTTGTTTTATCTACCAGTTTTCTAGCAATTTTATTTGCAGATGCACTTGCAATCCGTATTCTGAATTGTGTTAAATATTCCAAGTTGTTGGTGGTTTCCTTGGTCCTTTGGGTTTTGAAAAACGATTTGCAAAACCTGGGAACAAAAATAAAATTGAATTTGAAACAGGTTTTTTAAAATAAAAATGAGTATTTGGATTTAGAGCATATCATTATATGGAAATACATGTTTCTTTTTCCTAAAGGCTAAGCAGCATCGTTGATCAATTTAGCAATAGCTTATAAAGGGATTTGGTTATTAAATTAAAACTTAAATAATAATAGAAACTAAAAATAAATCTGTAAAGCAATTGCAAATTTATTATAATTATATTAAGAACCTAGATTATAATAGTCTGATGATTCAGCACATAGTATCCTTTTTTCAGCTATATTAAAATATTATTGACATTAAATATATGAGTTTAAGGTGTACAACATGATAATTTGATACATCTATATATTGTGAAATGATACCACATTAAGGTTAGTTAACACTTCCTTTTCCTTATATAATGACCTCTTTTTTGCATGGTGATTGCATTAAGATCTACCCTCTTAAAAACTCTCAAGTATACACTACAGTGCTGTACCTGTTATACATCAGATCCCCAGGCTTAGTCATGTCATAGCTGGACCCTACATCTACTAGCCATTTCCTCTACCTCAGCCCCTTCTACTAGACCATTCCAGCCATTTTAGATTACACACACGAGAAGACTACACAGTGTTTGTATTACTCTGACTGACCAACTTAACATAATATCTTCAGGTCCACCACATTGTTGTGAAGGGCAGAATTTCCTTTTTGTGGCAAAATAATATCCCATTGTGTTATATATGTGTGAATGGAATGATATATATTACAGATAGCCCTGAAAGAGGGCGAGAGAGGCACCAATGACCCACCCTCCCACTGAAAATCCAGAGAGAACTTTTGACTCCCAAAAAACTATGAGTCGTCTTGTCTGGAAACCTTACTGATAACAGTGGGTTAACACCATTTTGTATGTTATAATTATATACTGTATTCTTAAACCAATGAAAGTAAACGTATTAAAAGCCTAAGAAAGAGAAAATAAATTTATAGTGCTGTACTAGATTTATTTAATCCTAAATTTTTATCATCTGCTTACCAGAATATCTGTAAAAGGCCTGTGCAGTTCACACCCAGGTTGGTCGTTGAAGGCTCATGCGTCTGTGTATGTGTGTGCATGTGCCTGCGCACATGGGTGCACCCACATGTTCCATTCTCCCACAAATGGGCACTTACGTTGTTTCCATGTTTTGGACATTGTAAATATACTGCAATGAACACGGAGTAACATACCTCTTTAGAGATAGTGACTTCATTTTCTTCAGCTATAGAAGCTGGTAGCTTTAATTTTTTGAGGAATCACCATACTGTTTTCCAGAGAGGGTATACCAGTTTATATTCCCACCAACAGCGCACAGGAGACCCCGTTCTTCACAGCCTCCCAGAACACCTATTATCGATTGTCTTTTTTATAATGGTGATTATGTGAGGTAATACCTCATTGTGGTTTTGATTTGCATTTCTCTGGTGATTAGTGTTACTGAGCATTTTTCATGTACCTGTTCACCTGTCTTTTTGGAAAAATGTCCCTTTTAAGTCCTTTATCCATTTTTAATTGGATTCGTATAATAATATCCTCTACCTACATCATTTCGCCTACCTTCCACTCGTAAAAAAAGCAAACCTAGGAAATAACAATTTCAAAAAATAAGCACCATTTACTTTACCAAATCACTGTGTAAAATTCACACTACTTTGCCCATGAAGCCCCATTTCACTAAGGTTTTGTTTGAAAAGCTTAGAAAAAAAAAACACTCAGAAAAATTAAACATCTTATCTCTCAAACACTCCCTTCCCCCCACCCCCATCCTCAAAGAAGGAAGATGAAGAAATTTTATACAACTACTGAAACTATGTCTGGGTACGTTAAAAAATCTTACAGGTTATGACAGTGAGTGATCCTTTATCAAATCAGTAGCTTACTGCTTCCCTTTTTCTTTGATGAAGGTATATTTCAAGATATTCTTACACTTAATAACATTAGGAGCTTAAGTTGATCAATGAATGCTTTGAAATATAAAGGGAGAACAGAGACTGGAAAACTCAAAAGATATTTCTAAATCTTTAATCTCATCCTTTTGTAACCTCATTACAAAAGAGTGTATATTTTATATCTCATAGAACCCACAAAAGTATCACAAGATATTTGTTTAGGTAACCAAAATTAATGCCTGGCACATAGTAACTACTCAAGTGTTTCTTAAGTCTGAACCACAAAAACAATACCAGAACTGGTTGATAGAGAAGAGAGTAAGAAGAGAAGACAGAAACAAAAAATCCATTAAAACTGAATTTATTAATGGTGATGGTAAAGAAAAAATTGGGGGAGGGCCACACAGCTCCATTCACATACATTTTACTGGTTGAAGAAGGGGTGGGGGGGAAGTGGGGAAGAAAGAAGCCAACCTACTGAAATGGAAAAAAATATTTGCAAACTATATATCTGGTAAGGGGGTTAATATCCAAATGATAATAAAGAACTCATACAACTCAATAGCAAAAAAAAAAAAAAAGAAAGAAAAGGGAAAAGATCTGACATTTTTTCAAATACTCTTATATACAAATATTTAATCATGTTGTACACCTAAAACTAATATATATCAATTGCACCTCAATTCCAAGAGTATAGAAGAAAAACTATTTTAGGCTAGTTTCACACAATAGTCAAAATCATCCATTCAGTGCAGATAACTTGATTGTCCCAAATGGACTGAAAATAGAAGAACATAATTTTCATCGCCTATGAGGAAAACCCACTTCAGTCTTTCTCACTGATCAATTTTTAATAGAACGGTAATGATCTATCTTTTTTGCATTTAAGACTCATCAGGAAACACATGAATGTTTATAAGCCACAATTTTTTCTCATTCTAATTTAAATATATTGCCTCCTCTTTTATGAAAGAGTAACAATGAAAAAGTTAAGTGCTATTTTTTCATAGGGAAAAATAGTTAAATATCGGTATATTTGAGAAGAAACAGTATGAATGCCGCTCTAATATTTTACCCTTATATTAAGTATATTATTAAGTATTATATTAAGCCACATACTACTATAAAGTTAGATGAGTCATTCAAACAGTATCACTAGCTGAGAGTAAAGAAGGAAAAAGGCAACATTTACATTCAGGCAAAGTTTAGTGCTTTTCCCATAAGTTATATAATATTCAATATAAATATTGTAGCAAAATTATTTCTTCAGAATAATAACTTTTTTAAAATCATAACATTTTAAACCTCAGAGTTAATGTACTCAAAGTGTTATGGTCCAAGAAATAGACCCAGAAATGATGGTTAAATATTTTGCAAAGGTCAGATAGGAATCATTACCCAGGTATGATACAACATACCAGGAAGAGATTGCTACCTTGTCACAAAAGCTTTCCTTGCTTCTTCAGGAACAGAATTCTGTCCAGGCAGCTGTCTGCCTGGCATGATTATATCTCCCCATTTCCCTTGGAGTTTAGGCAGAGCACATATCTCAGGCTATCTGAGCCAAACTGATGCTGTCCATTTCAGGCCAATGCTTTACACCAGAAGAGGAAGCCATACCCTTCCCTTCCACATTTCCTCTCACCTTCTCAGCACCTGCAGTGTGGATGTAGGAGCAACCTGATTTTGACCATACAGATCAGGATGATACCATCAAAGCAGTGGCTCCTAAGATAAGGTTCAGGAACCCCTAGGGAGCCTCACGCTCTTTCATGGATTCCCCTTTTTGCTATTAACAATTGTTAGTGGTCATAGTCTACATTAACTGCATGCTTCTTTTTTTGTCATATGATAATAATCATATGCACGTTTCTCTGTTGAATTTATTTGCAATAAAAGGCTGCTAGCATATTCATAATATCATTTTATTTTAAATGACCATATTCATTGATAAAAGGCACATACAATTTGAGAGTTCTGCTGACATCGCTTGCATTTTGCTCCAATCGCTCTGAAACTATTTTTGGATGACACTTTCATTCTTTGCTTGGTGGCAAGATGTAAATATCTGTTTGCATCTGCAAAGGTCAGGTGACCCTGATTTTATGATTTCTTGGTATGATCTGTGAAGAATTTCTGAAGATGCCTCCCTGTTTAGATAGGATACTTGTCTCAGTAATTCGGAGAAATATTCAGGAAATCAGAATATTTTAAAATGACAAATTTTCTGACATTGTTTCCACCTCCAAGTATTCTCTGTGATTTCGGCCCTGAGACCAGTACAGAAGCAGTCCCTGCCCAAGAAGGGGGCTAGCCACTGCCATCTGCCTGCTCCCCTCTGTCTGACTACACACTTTTTATGAAGAATTACAGTATAACAACACCACCTTATCTGATATAACCATTTCATATAATAAAGAATAATAGAATGCTTAAAGTAAGGTATAATTGTCCCTTTAAGTTTATAGCTTCTACTTAGGGACAACTGATCAAACAATTCTTTGAAGCTGCCGGACTTTTACTTCAACTTGTAAGGCTGAACAAGTTAGGCAAGAAGAGCAAAACTGCTGCTCTTTTGATCACACCTGTGCATTTTTTTATACCTTTTCTTAGATGCCAACCGGAATAGCATGGCCTTCCAGAATTTCTTCATGGGACTAGTCACCTTTATTTGCTACAGGCCACCATGTCATCTGGTTTACCTACTGCTATTTTCCACATATACTAGGCAGCTCAGTCCTTTGTTCTAAGAGGTTAAGAAGAAGCTGAGGTCATAATTAAAAAGACAAATTGCAAGGAAAAAATATAAATACAATTATAGCTCAGATTTTAAAAGAATGTAAGATCTTCTATGTGCAAGCTTAAATCATGTTTAAAGCTGCAGCTTATGCTGCAACTGAATAAAATAGATGACCGTTGTTAAAGTCTAGAAACAATGCACATACCAAAATTCAGAAAGGAAGTGGAGTTATTTGACTGACCAGACTCCGGAGGCTTGTTTGATGGGGACGAAGTACAAATACCTACAGTCAAAAGAAGAAATGCAAGAGAGAAAATGAAGACAGACTCAAATCTATCCAACCCCATAATTTTCTCCAAATTAATATTCCCAAACATTTTCTACAAAGTAATTATTATTTCCAAATAAATATATCACTATCAAACAAAGATATAGATGCTTACCAATGGGTCAACCCTATAGTCTTTTATTTTTCTCTATTTTTTATTAGTTTATTTTTACATCATTTTGTGCCTTGCTCCATCTCAGTTGTAATCCCCATATACTTCTCACCACCACTTCACCCGTGTGCCATCACCATAGTCCCGTGCAGCTTTCATCCCATTTTTGATCCCATTCCCCCCTCCACCCTGGTAAAATGTCTCTAGTATGTAGCTGTTCATTGTTTTTTGGTTTTCTTTATTATAATTGCTTCTCCCACCTCCCCTCAGCCCTTTATACTCTTGCTATGAATAAAACTATCCTGTATTTTTCTTTTTCTTTCTGACTTATTTGTATTTTTTTTAATGTTGCTTTTCTTTGCAAATTGTATAGGAAAGCTCTGTTATGTGTCATTCAACTTTTGGGGGGGATTCATCTTTTGTCCTTGGATTCCATCTTACTCTATATCTGGCCACTTTTCAGTACACTTTTATATCATTTTTCGAAAGTTCATCCACAGCTTTCATCTATAACTTTTCTTACACTACCCTCTATTCTTGGGACGTCTGTCTTTATTTTCCAACCTACTTCTTTCTCATTATAGATGATTTTAGATAGGTCCAGAATTTCCCCAAAGTGGTGTTAATTTTGCTATTTTAGCTAATTACAGGTATACTTTTAAAGTATACTGTCTCTTCCCAGCACCTTAATGAAGTCATGCATCAGTTTCTGCACCATTGTGAAAGTTATCACAAAACATGCTCTACACTTTGCACATGTGCTGTCTAACAAGTAGAAAAGATAATTTTAAGTTATATGGGTTTTTTTAAGAAATAACATATAATTGTGAAGTTATTATATATTCACCCCCCCCCTTTTTTTTTTTTTGTCTTCAGCACTCTCAGAATGAAGTGAGAGCACTGCATATGTATTTGTACACCTGATACTATGATTCTAGAAACACTTTCCCCTTCCTGGACATACTTGATCATGAAACACTAAAAATACATGGTAACTTTCAACCAAATTCAATAAAAACATAATAATAATTAAACACTTATTATGTGCCATGCACAGAACAGAAACACTAGTAAGATGGGGGTGAAGTGAGAAACTTCAGACAATATTAATCATCCCTATACTGCATAGACGCTGAATTACATACATCATCAGAAAAAAACACCATTGAATCGTATACCGGTATTTGTATTTTACAGTAAGAGATAAAGATTCCGCAAAGGTGTCAAAGGAAGCTCCATTTTGCATATTGACTTGGCATCGATTGTTTGTTGCCTGCTCAGCATTAACTCCTTCCTCTTCTGAAAATTTAAACTTCAATTTCCCTGTAGGAAACCACTTTTCCCCAGTTAGAAAGAGCCTGAACTTTTAGTGGAGCTGATAATGGTCTTAAATCAGGAACTTAATCAACCCCTTAGATCAAACCTTATGACTGGGGCAGATTTTAGCTAGTACATAGCCACGGCTACACAGGTGTTTAGATCTGACCTCATTCCTAACTGGTCAGCGTCCACATGTCATCGTTGTTGACTACTAGCTGGGTAGAATTTTACATTAATCAGCATATTAAATACAATGCCAATAGCTGGTTCAGGCACAGGCGAATGAACCAAGTGAAGAGATCTGGATTCAATCAAAACCAGTCTTGAGACTATTGCTTGAGCAACTAGGAAACACTCATTTTTCCATATAAGCCTGCAACCACATGGTAAATGCGTGCCTGTGCCTGTGAGTGAGGTAATAGAGTCTAACAAAGCCAGAAGATAGGAAATGAGAGATTAGATACTGATCTAACTCTTGGTCACAGACTAAAAATATCTCCCTTTTCTGCTTCAGCCAGCTGAAGTTTGGTTTTCTGTTACTTGCAACTAAAGGATTTTTGAACAATTAGTTTCCCTCCAGAAGTAGGCTTCGAGCTTCATGATAAATAACTTCAACTCTGGTCACTCTTTAATTCATTCTCCATACAGGAGGCAGACTGATCTTTTATAAAACGATCCTGTAACCCCTCTGCCTAAAGCTCTCCAATGACTCCCATTACATTTACAATGAATTGTGAACTACTTAATGTGACCCATAGGGTGTATTTATCTCCTCCCATGCTACTGTCTTTTCTGCCTCACTCCTCTTGATTTACCTACAATGATGTTAGCTCCCTTTGAGTTCCTATAACACACCAAACACATCTCAGGTGTCTCATAAGCTAAGCTGATCAATCTGTGGCTGACTGTTCAAGTCACTAAGTTACTTGCTTTTCATGATTTTTGTTTCTCTTGTTTCATACTGTAATTTCCTTCTGAAATGTTTAATTCTCTTTTAACTAATTTTAGAGTTAAAAAGTAAAGTTTTCAGTTATCCTTTCACCATCACAGGTGAGAAATCAGTTCATGTCAAAGATCAGGTATAATGGCAAGGAAGGCAAAATAGGATAAGTTTATGGAGAGGGAGATAGAGAAAAAAACTCAGAAAATAAGAGTTAATTATAAACATTACTTAGACAGTATGTTAAGGCAAACTTTCTCACTGCTCTTTTCCCCCTCCCAAATCACCAGTGGAACTAAGTGACTGGACTGAACTAAGTGTTTGGGCTAATTTTATGTAAAAAAAAAAAAAAAGGGTGTACCACCATGGTTTATATACTTTACAGCTGTAAATAAGATAATCAGCTTCCCACAGTTTCAGGAGCCTTTGGAGTTTGTTTTCATGACAATATAGTAAAAATAGTAAGCAACAGACTCTTATTGCTAATAATACTTGGTGAAAATGGCAATGTGTCAATACTCTGCTTATTTCATTAAATCAACACATTTGTTTCACAATATGCTTTGCTGTGACTATTTTCAAAGAAAATGCATCTGAGGTTAAACTGCTGGGAATTTTAAATTAACACATTTGTATGACAGAATCTTGGGATGGGTAGAAAGTGCCAAACATCATACTATTATTCTTGCCTTTTAAACAGAAATTATCTCTCCCCTGACTCCCCACAAGACATTAGCAGGTGCAAGACCTGGGGGTGATGGCAGTGAGTCAGAGTATTCAACTGAAACTCTGCTTAGGAATAATATTGTTAGTTTGTTCACAGAGTGGTTACATAAGGAAAATTACATAATTGTCAATGTAGTATTTTAGATACTCTAAACCAGTATAAAGAAGCTTACTCTTTTTCATGTTCCGCAAAATTTTCAAGCTCTACAAAATGAAGAAAAAGAAAAGGTTAGTTTTGTTCCTATGAAATCCCAAATACTTTAAGTAGAAATTTAAATATCAGCCTAAAACATGAATTTCCTTAAAAATAGCCATCAAAATGCACAGTATTTTTTTCCATCTTGCCATTTTCAGTTCCGTGAGAGTCATCACCTGATTTCATCTAGCTATTTTTTCCAGCCTTAAAAGAATATAAAGCGCTCCTAGAAATGTATTTTAAAAATAATAACCCTAAAAGAAGGGGGAAAGTACAGTATTTCTATGGGTTATTTTAAGTTTCTTGTCTGTTTGTTCTTTCTAATATATAAATTTTCCATCTATCTAGAATATGTCCTGGTATAGTTAGGAGTTAAGAAACCTACATTTTTTCTCCCATGTGGTTACCTAGTTGATCCAACAATTATTAAAACATCCATCTTTTGTCCTGATTTGAGATGCCCCCGCCCTGGTTATATACTAAAGTCCCCTTACATATTTGGAGCTATTTCTGGACTTCTCCTTAATACATGTTTCTCTTCATTAGGATGCCACTTTAATTACTGAGGCTTGACAATGCCTACCTTCAAGCCTCCCCCAATTTACTGACTATTCTTGACTTTTTCTTCCCCTCCCCCATTTTAATTAGAAAACACTTTGTTTTGTCCCAGAAGAAGAAAGGTTAGCAGTTTTATTGGGCATGCTTCTTTTTTCAAAGAAAAAGAAAAGGTTAGTTTTGTTCCTATGAAATCCCAAATACTTTAAGTAGAATTTTAAATATCAGTCTTTTTTTTTTTTTATGGTTTCTTTCTATTAATTGTGATTGTTGTGAGATCATCAATTTGAATGAAGATATTTCATCTGTTTTCCCATCTGAAATCTGGGAGTTGGGGTTGAGGGAAGGACACCTTCAAAAGCTTCTGTCATGTCTCCCAAAAGTCTTGTCTTCTTTACCTTGCTCCTTGTGAAGCACTTTGCAGGAGTCTTCGATGTCTGTTGTGAAGACATAGAGTCTTCCACAGAGTTAGGACAACTAGTGGAATAAGTCTCTATGGCTTGAGGCTGCATACCTACACCGGAAAAAAAAAAAAGTTGCGTAGTTCTTAAACCTTCAGATATAGAGCCATCATTTTCACTTTGACTTTTTAATGCATTTTAAATAAATAATTAAATAAGTTTTAGGCCCTCCCTGGTGGTGCAGCGGGTTAAAGCACAGCACTGAGAAGCTAAAGCCACTTCCGCATGAGTTCGATTCCCGCCTGCCCCGAGGTGACCACATGGGTGGCAGACCTCTCCTGACCCACCCGCTGCTCCCCTCAGCAATGTATTTCGTCGATCTGCCTGTTCTGCTTCCCGCTCTGTCTCTGGTGAAGCCTCTCACCACCCCTGAGCCTCTGGCCTATACCCCAGTTCTGTATGTACAAATAAATAAATCTTTTAAAAAATAAGTTTTAAATGTCATTTTGATATTATTTAATCATTTTGTTCCTTTTCTATTCAGATTCGTTTGTTGACCAGTTATCAGTCTCATATTTTTATAAGACTGATATTTCAGTCTTATTTATATTTTAGTAAGAAAATAATCTATATTTCATTTTACAACAAAAATACTATCACTTACAATCTTCATCAGCAAGAAAGAAGGACTCTGCAGTTCTTTCTGGGAGTGGAGGTGGTGAGGGAGAAGAACGCTCTTCATGGAGATCTGTGATAAAATGTATCCAAGAAAGAACAAAAATTCAGTTAAAATTCATGTCAGGATCCCTTTTTGGTTTTGAGTGACTTTCCAAATTTGTAAATAATTAATCCATACAACCAAATAAAAAATTATCTGAAAGATGACTGATGCCTCAAGAAATTTATTCTTCTAGATCTTTAGCCAATAGGTCTATGTTTCACCAGACACTGTAATATGTAATGAACCATTTGATACACAGACACTTAGGGCTAAATATCATCTAAATGAGGCCCCCTCCCTGGTGGTACAACGGGTTAAAGCATAGCACTAAGAAGCTACTGCAGCCACTGCAGCACAAGTTTGATCCCCGGCCAGGGAGGTGACCCACATGGCGCGGCAGACCTCTCCTGTCTCCTCACTGTTCCCCTCAGCGCTGGACTTCATCAATTGGCCTGTTCTGCTCCCCGCTCTGTCTCTGGTGAACCTTCTCACCACCCCTGCACCTCTGGTCTGTACCCCAGTTCTGTATGCATAAATGAATAAATCTTTTAAAAAATAAATAAATATCATCTAAATGAAGGAAAAATGTTTACCTGGTTTGGGACTCTGGAGTTTTACACTCTGAAAAATAAAAAGAGAACATGACAAAAGACTCTGCATAGAAATGCGCACTGCAGATCTTATACCTGTTGAATAGTTACAAGTGCTGACTTTCCTCTTCCTAAGTAATAAGTGTGCTCAGGTACAAAAAGGCATCCTTAATCCTGAGTGAGTTTTACATGTCACAGTAATGAGTTCTACATGGAGGCTTTGTTAGCTTCTTTCCTTTCTACTCAGAATATTTTCCTGAAAATTTAATGGGAATTAAGTTGCTGAATTTGAAGTAACTTGATGGCCTTGGGAAAGGAGTGATTGTTCTTTGCTCTGGGAGTTAAGATAAAAGTCATGACATACATAGATGCATATATATCGTTATCAATAATATTAACAATTAGACTGACAAATTAAAAGTGTAATTACAGAAGTAAAGCATATCTGCCTACAACTATTTCCATTATAGCCACTTTTAAATATTTACTTAACTATTTTTTAGATCTCTGACATCTTCAAATAGTTGGTTGGAATATATACAAATACAAAACACATAGTTGAAAGTGTAGATGTTTCTTCCCAAGTAGACAACACTATCCCCAAAAGTTTTATCTTAAGTAAAAAGGGTACCTGTCATTCAAATAATACTTTCTGTCATAGCTTACCACAGCTAATTTGATACAGCCTATCAAATTATTAACAAGAACAAGTTACCTACTTAAGAAACATTTTTTTGGTCTTAATTGTCTTTTAAAGTCAACTCAAATATCTCCTCTTACACTAAGTCTTCCTGGATTACTTTTCAACTTCCAATTATTTCCAGGGAATCTCTCAGCTTCTGGGTCTCTTGTCTTCCACACGGCATTAATCAAATTTGCCTTGCTCTGACAAATATTGACAGAAATATAGACATCACGTCCTGTAACTCACTGCTAGACTCTAAGTTTCTTAGGACAACAGGTACTTCTTATATATATTTTTATCTCCCATATTCTCTAGCACATTGTTTTATGAGTAGGATTTGCTTAATATTTACTGAGTAGTAGGGGTTAAAAAGACAAGGAGAGGGCCCGTCCTGGTGGTGCAATGGGTTAAAGCACAGCACTATGACACTAGAAGCACTTCACAAGTTCCATCCCTGGCCAGGGAGGTGACCCACATGTCATGGCAGACCTCTCCTGACCGGCCCACTGCTCCCCTCAGTAGTGTGCTTTGCTGATCTGCCTGTCCTGCTCCCCACTCTGTCTCTGGTGAAGCCTCTCACCATCCCTGCACCTCTAGCCTGTACCCCAGTTTTGTATGCATAAATAATCTTTAAAAAAAAATACAAGAAGAAGGACTATAGTCTGTTGAATCCAAATAAGTAGAATCAGGAATGAAGTTATATCTGACCTTGCTTGGTCTAAGTCTTACAGAGTCATCAGGTTTCTCTGACTCAGATTCTAGGGATGTTCCAATCTTCATAGCAGAAGTTAAGGATTTGGGGACATTTGGAGAGAATTCTCCTGGAAGAAAATAAACGTTGTTCAATTTTTAGCAGGGTTTTAATTCTTTTAGAAAGCAAAGATTACTCATTAATAGCAGACAGGGTGTTGAAGGATCTGAGAAGACATCCAGTCAATCCACTTTATGACACTCACTGAATTGTACTCACCAGCTTCGTCTGCCACAATAAAAGATTCAGGTGTCCGTTCAGGAAGTGGAGGGGGGATTTCATCTTCTATCTTTGCAGAAGGTGCTATCAAAAATGCCAGAAATATAATCACAATTTTAATTGGAAAACTCCAAGAAAAATTCTAACATTCCAATATTGAGGTAAGTGCCTACACTATTGTAATTGGTATCTTTCAATCAAGTATAAAAGCAAAATGTATTCGCCATCTTAAATAGCAAATCCAGAAGTTCTTTGCTTTATCTAAAAATATTCTACTTCCTTTAAAGGTTCAAAGTATTTTGATTGAGGGCCTTCCTAGTGGTGCAAGGAGTTGTCTCAGCACTATGAAGCTATCACCAGTGAAGCTACCACTGCAGCATGAGTTCCACCCCCTGCCTGGGAGAGGAGCCACAGGGTGCACCCCTGCTCTCCTCAGCAGTGTATTTCAATCAATCTGCCTGTTTTTCTCCCCACTCTGTCTCTGTTGAATCCTTTCACCCCCTGAACCTCTGGCCGACACCCCATTCTTATGTGCACAAATAAATAAAAATAAATCTTCAAAGTATTTTGATTGAATCACTAAATATCAGTTAAATAACATAGAACACTACATTAATTTAGGAAGTCTTAGATTGTTTTCTACAAATTTCCCTGTTTTACCAAGATGGTGCATCTTAAGCACTTTGAAATGCCAAACATCCAGTTACAGGCTAAGTAAAGTCAAAGATTTTAGTGTCTTTTCTTCAGTCTATTAATGAAGAATAGGGAATGTCTTTTCTTTCTCCACACCAATGGGATAACAGGGTTTTCCATACTTCTTAGAAATAGTATTCTGAATTTTTGTAAAACTTTAAAAATGCTGTTCTAAGAATTCGCCACTGGGTGGCGCAGGTGTCAGTGTTGCTATAATTCCTGCAACTACAGATCTGGGTTTTTTTAATAATGTTGATGGAGAAGTCCAATATATTGTGGGGTTTGTAGAAAAAAATAAAATTCCTTTAAATTGAAAAACAAGATAAAAGTATATAAAATATAATAAGTAAAGAAATAACTTCCAAGGGCCAGACAAAGTATTTTTGTAACAAATTTACTTATCTGTGTAGATATTAAGAGCAAAAGTTTTCTCTAGTTCCTATCCAGTTAGAACTTTTTAAATTAATTTCTGAAGATATACCTAAGAATTAAACTTGCTCTATATTTTAGTGCCTCTTCTTCCACGTCATGCTGTTAAAATCTTTTCTAACAGCAGAATTGCTCCTTTCAAACCACTAAATAAAACAATCGACAGAAGATGCCAAAATCTAGAAGGGTGTCAAGATGGTTAAAATCCCACAGAGAACACTAAACACAAATTCTTGTCTACTGAGTTACTACCAAAGGACAGGAGGAAACCAGATCTTTCTCTTCCAACTCCCACAGGAAGAGAATTCAGTTCTGAGCAATCTGGTCAACTCATTATGGCCATACGATTGTTCAAGAAAAATTTTTTTTTTTTTCAAGAAAAATTTTTGAGTGACCATGGGGTGCTGCTAATAAAATCTTTCCTGTATGTTAGCAAACTGTGGACTTTGGATATGAATTTCTAAGACTAAGAATGCCTGTAGCAAAGATGCAGTACCAGGCCTGGCTCCCTTCAATCCTGCCTGGTAGCATGAAACACAACATGCTTGTTGTTGCTATTTTCAGCATAACCTAGGATTAAAACATGCTTGGAATTTAGGACGTGGAGAGAGAAGCAGAGAAAGACAGGGGAAGGCTGAGAGGAAACCCAAATCTTAAACAGAAGCAAGTTGAAACCTAAAGTGCCATACACACATATTTAAAAGTAACTTACCTACTGCTTCTGTCTCTTGGTTCAGTGCTGGGAGGGATGTGTTTGAAGGATTCAGGGCTAACGCATCCCCGGAATGACAATAAGAAAAGAGCGTAGAGGATAATGGCAATGAAAAACTAGGCAAGACAGTTGCATCTTGCTTTTCAGGAAAGTCCAGAGACATCTTTGAACCGGTACTAGTTGGAGACGATGAAAAATAAGGATCCTCTACTAAAGACGTATCAAAATATAAATTGAAATCACTGGAGACACGCTGCCTTGTGCTAGATGGATGAAATATTTGCTGCGGAGTGTCATAAGACAGGGGGTAGTTCACTTCCGCTGAAGAAACGTGCGTCCCTCTCTGAGAATCCTCAAGAAAGGAATGACGTGGCCGAGATTCCAAATCAGAAAAATTTCCTCTGATGTCCAACTCCCTGGTGTCTCTCTGCTGTATCAATTCAAAGGGAGTTGATTTGGTCCGTGTTATTGGCCTCTTTGGATTAAAATATCTTTCTGTTGCAGATACAGATTTAGAATTAGGACAGGCTTCAAAGAAAATGGAGCTCAAGTCCAAACTGTTGCGCTTCTGAAGAGGCTCTCCAGCTATCGGGAATGTCTCCGTCTCCCAGTTAATGGTTGGTTTGTTACAACTACAATTTAGCTCCAAAAAGTCCAGAGAACTACTCTGCTTAGCAGGGTGCAAAGCGAATCCTTGCTTTTCGTTTGTTTCAAAAGGCCAAAGGTCAAAGGTAGAAGTTGCTGCATTTTTCCTTTCTGGGCTCTGTTGGTTCATCATTTTTGCTTCTTTTGTACTGTTAAAATAAAAGAAAAGCGTGCTGATACCATTCCCAGAGGCCTCTTCCCGGTTTTCTCTTGATCATCACAAGGAATTATGAGTTGGTCTCCCAAATGTTTGCACTCACCTTTCTGGTAAATTAAGAGAATAAGAGTCTTCTAGAGTAGGAGTTTGCTGAGGAGCTGAATACTTTGCTTGAATCTTCAAGAGAAAAAAGTAGGTATTATTTTTTAGTGAAGTCTTGGCAACACAACATTTTAGCATTCACAAGGCTGCGAAATTACTTTTCAGAAAACGACGATTTTCAAATAATTCTTGAAAAAATTAGGTGACTTTCCAAGACATTGAATCCAGTAAGAACTTGTTCACATACTTAGATCAAAAGTATCAGATTAAAAAACTGTTAGTGTTAGAGAAACAGAAAGGATTTCTTGTGGCATCTTTTCAAGTGTGGCCATTTTTAAATGTTTTTGAGGGGCAACCTTCCAAAATTTCACCTTAACATTTAAAGTTAATAGGTGTTTATTAGGTTGTCATACTTATTTCATCTTATTCTACTTTTTCCCTCTTGACTGTGCCCTGTAACAGGCCAAACTCATTTCCAATTTAAGGCCTTTGCACTTACTATTATTTTTGACTGCAATATTCTTACTCCAGATTTTGCATGTTTGGCTCTTTCTAAAGAATTTATCTCTGCTTAAATGTCACCTGCATAAGGAAAATTTCCCTGACCATTCAAGCTGAAATTATTCTCTTACATTGAGAGTGCTTAGCCACTTGCAACCGTCATTTTATTCATAGTCTCATTATGAAATTTCTTACTATGTCTCATGGTATCTAAGATGCCATAAGTTGTAAACTATATTCTGACCCCAGAGGTGTTTAAATGTAAGAAAAGAAGTGATCAGCAGGGCCCTCCCTAGTGGCACAAGGAGTAAATGTGCAGCACAAAGAAGTTATTAGTAGCCACTGCGGCACAAGTTCTATCCCCAGCCAGGGAGGTGACCCACATGGCGCAGCAGACCTCTCCTGTCTCCTCACTGCTCCCCTCAGCAGTGTACTTCATCAGTCAGTCTGTTCTGCTCCCCACTCTGTCTCTGGGGAATCTTCTCACCACCACCCCTTCTGCACTTCTGGCCTGTACCCCAGTTCTTGTATGCATAAATAAATACATCTTAAAAAAATTATCCTTTCTAAAAAATAAAAACTAATCAGCAAGTGTAAGATCCCACTGATTATGCAAAAATACAGGTTAAATTCTAACAATAATATCTTTTAAAATGTGACTATATGTGGAAATAATCTGCACAGATGAAATTGGTGAAGGTAAAATCATAGTGGGTTAGACTGGGCCCTCGTAAGATGATTCGTGTTCTTCTAAGAAAACAGAGATAAAGAGACAAAGAGAAAATAAAGCTTTATATCATTCTTCTGTTGTTGTGTGGAGAGTTCCATGAACACTGATTTGATCTAATGGGTTTATACCATGTTGAATTCTTCTGTTCTTGCTGATTATCTAGTTCTATCATTGGTGAGGGGGGCATTGCAGTTTAAATATAACAATGCTTTTCTTTCAATGTCTCCTTTCAGTTCTATCAGTTTTGCTTCACACACTTTACAGTTACGTTTGGTTCATATACTCTTCAGATTCTATGTCTTACAGGAGTGATAGACTGATTCTTTCATCATAATGCAATGTCCATCCTTATTGGTGATAATTTTCTTTGCTCTGAAGTCTACTCTACCTGATATTAATATTGCTACTCCTATTTTCCTTTTATTCATTCCTACATGATTTTTTTCTCAATCCTTTACTTTAAACCGACCTATATATATATATATATATATGAAGTATTTTCCCTATAGATAGCACATAGTTGGACAGATTGCTAATCAGTCTGTTCACTGGTATATTTATACTATTTACACGTAATGTAATGCTGTTAGGGTTTAAATATACCACTGTTTTTTCTGTTTTCTGTGTAACTGATTTCTTTTGCTGCCTCTTCCTTTTTCCTTCATTTTCTAGAGTCTCATTTTGACATCTATAGTTCTTTTGAATATATATTTTTAGGTAATCTTTTAGTGGTGGTGCTAGTAATCACAGACATCAGAATCTAGCTATAGATGTTGCATTTTACTAGTTCAAGTACAGAAAACTTACCTCTCTTAATTTAAAAAAAAAAAAGGAAGAAAGAAAAGGAACTTCACCTCTCTTTTTATCCCAATCCTCCCCTGCTTATAGCTGCCTTGAAATATTTCCTCTAATATATTTACAACCACATGAAACACTGTTCTAGTTTTGTTCCAATAATCAAATTAGAAAACTCAAGAAGAGAAAGAAAACCTATTATACTTCCTTCATTCAGCATTTCCTCCCTGATTAGAAAACTTACTTTGTCGTTTTTTAGAGTAGGTCTGCTGGCAACAAATTCCTTTAGTTTTTCTTCATCTGAGAGCGTCTTGATTTCCCCTTCATTTCTGAAGGATATTTTCATGGGTGTATAACTCTGGGCTAGGAGTTCTTTTCTTTCAGCATTTGAAAAATATCGTGTGACTTTCTTCTGGCAGATTCATTAGAGTTGACAGTAACTAGAGAATTGCTTAGTTTGTTCCTTTTTAGCCTCTAAAATTTTTTGGCTTTGTTTTCTCCCCTAAATTTTTTCATTCAACTGATAGGAGTTACAATCAAGGTCATGCCTTATATATTTTGTATTCCTAATTCTATGGACACAGTAGAGACTTAATGAATATTTTCAGATTAATAATCAAAAATGTGATATTAAAAATTAATGTGAATGTTACATACACCCTTGAGGGTAAATCCGTTATTTTTTTCTTCTTAAGGTTTGTTCAGAAACTAGTACTTTGTGGCTCCACAGTAAGTCCTTAACTTGCTTTTTTTTTTTTTAA